ATTCAAGCCGTCTCCAGCCATTATTAGTCTCAAAGTGGGTTCCTCGTCATCGAATTTGCAGTTGGTTCAATGATCAGCCACGTGTAAAATGTGAAATAGGGTCATAACTTCCTGGTTATAACCATTACTATTTTCTAAAACCTACCTTTAGAGAAAGAGTAATTTATAGATTACTTTGGTCAAGTGAGATTCTATGGGCTTCGTGTGTACTCACGCATTATTTGTGAATTTAATTCACCAGTCTTTGCTGAACCAATAGTATAGCTGTTGACATTCCAGTGACAATGGCCAATACAGCTTACCCTTCAAAGCAGAATTTTTCCTTCCAATGCCCTCTGGTTGTTACATAGATGGTATTTAATTCCAGTAGGAAAGGAACGGGATAGAAGCTGCAGACTCATTCCTACACACATGAGCTGACTCACCAAAACAGATTTCAGCCTATTATTCTAACTGTTAGAAGCCACTAACGCTTTCATCATCTCTCCTTTTTTCCAGACACAGTTAAATACCAGTTATTCACGGTTTTCAAAGTTTCCCCACATAAGAATTTTTTTTACGCTCCCTCCCTCAAGTACACTTACAAGATTAATTTTCATGCATCTTTTACTGCACCTTACACTGAAAAAATGCCAAGAAAACAGTGTGCTTACAAAATATTTCAAACTGCACGATTGAACATATTAAATCATAACCAAATACAACAATGAATATACCAAGCTTACATTTTTTATGATACCTAGGCTACTATCTGTGAATTTCATTTACTACCGATAATTCCACCCACTCGTGAATACTTCAATTCGATCAAATTGAAATATTTTGAATCCCGTTTTCCAAAACAATAGATAAGCTGTGCTTTCTCTCAGAAAAGTTCACTACCTGCTTAATATTTCAATGTCAAAACTGAAACATTCTATCATTATCATTAATGGAAATTTATGCTACACCTATCTTCAAATAATACCTAAGAGGTTAGTAATCATAGTTAACCTTACATCATAAAGTGTTAACACACAGATCAAATCCTTTGTTTCCCTTCGTATGCTGCTTAATAGTTGTATTCTTTGGGTAAGTGATCTACTTCTGTTATGCAACACTCATAAATGACTTCATATAATGTTGATACACGTGTATATGACCACACAAACATATTTGTTTTTACACTATATTACATACATACATATATCTTCGTTACACATTGTCACATACACTTATAAGGACAGACTGCCTCTGGCTCTAGAATAAATTACTTTAATAATCTTCTCAGGTTATATGAGTTTCGATAGACACTGTATAGTAATGTGGAGCCATCAAACTCAAGACATTTTTATTTTCATGCTTCATGAAATAAATAACCATTGATAGAATTCAGCTTAAATTCTCTTAAAAAAGGATTCATATTCATGATGTTTATATAGTATAAATCAGTATACACTCAGAATAAACACAAATTATTCGTTGCATGTAAAGAAGTTATACAGCTTTCACAGTAAGATGTAAAAAAGATCTAACTAAGCCTAATGCTACCATTAAACAACATAAAATTACCGAAAAAATCTGTCTTTACTATGTAGAGATTGGTAAAAAGAAATTTATTCCATTACAAAAAACAACTAAAACTATAAAATGTAATTTTAAGTTTAATCTTTCCAAAAAATATGCAAAAAGAAAACTTGAGAACAACCTTCCTAAAAATAAAATCGAACCCCCAGTGTAACATAAAAATGGATTTAAATACGAAAGTCTTCTTTACCGTTCAGATTTGTGCACTTAACATAGCATAACGCTTTGGGATAACATGGAACCTATTGGTTCATCTCAGCTGTTTCATCTTCTAAATTAAAGTAATAATAAAAAATCTTAAAGCCAGCCCTTATCATTCATATACTTATCAAGCTTTTTCTTAAACTCACTTAAATTTACTGCCTCGACAACGTCCAAAGGCAACCCATTCCAATGGCCAACCATCCTGTTAGAAAAATATAACTGTCTTAGCTGAAGATGACTCCTACCCTGCCAAAATATATATTTCTGTCCCCCAGTCCTACTATTTTCACTGTTAAGTATGGAAAAAGATGATGCATCAACACTATCTATTTCCTATCTATTAAACACCTCAATCAGATCCTCCCTAACTCTTATTTTTTCAAGAGAAAACAATTTGAGAAATTTTCAGCCTCTACTTGTATGACAACTCCTCCATCCCAGACACCATTCTACTAACCCTTCTCTGAACCCTTTCCAATAATGCCAAGGCTGAACACAATATTCCAAATGTGACCTAACCAGTGACCTGCACAATGAAATTATAACCTCTTTAGACTTGTATTCAATATTTCTGTAGATACAACCTAAAATCCTATTTGCCCTATCACTACCAACAGCACAATGCTTGGGTGGCTTTAGAGACTGATCGACTATTATACCGAGATCCCTTTCCTTCATAACACTGTTAAGGTTATTCCCATCCAAATTATACTTATAATTCAAATTATGAAAACCCACATGCATTATCTTGAATTTATTATAATTAAAACCCATCTGCCATTTATTTGCTCAGCTGAATAAATTATCTAAATCCTTTTGTAAATCAGCAGCATCCTCTTCACAGCTAGCGACACCAAAGATCTTAATATCATCTGCAAATTTAAGTAATTTATTGACTATTCCTTTATCTATGTCATTGATATAAATCAAAAGGAGCAAAGGTTCTAAGACTGAGCCCTGAGGTACCTCACTTGTGACGTTAATCCAGTTTAACTGAACTCCATTTGTAACAACCTTCTGCTTTCTTCCATCTAGCCACTCTTCTATCTAATTTACTAACTTATCCCCCACACCTGCAGAGATACATTTTTACAATCCTTTTATGTGACATTTTGTCAAATGCTTTGTGAAAATCCAGATACATCAAATCTACACCCTCACCCTCATATACATAAGCAATAACCTTTTCAAAGTATGTCATAAGATTTGTAAGGCAGGATTTTCCCTCAGTGAAACCGTGTTGACTATCCAATAAAATTCTAAGTTTGTTTAATGACTTTGTAAAGCATCTTTTAACAGACTTTCCAAAACTTTTTCCACAAATGATCTAAGACTACTGAGTCTATAATTACTGGGACAATATTTTTCATCTCCCTTGAAAAGAGGAGCTACATTAGCTAACTTCCAATCGTCTGGTACCTGCCCACTATTCAAGGACTGACAAAAAAATAGTAGTAAGTGGCTCACATAACCAATCTTTAACATTTTTCAAAATCTTTGGGGGAAACATTATCTGGCCCAGGAGCCTTTTCATTTTTTAAACTTCCCAATTGAGAATTATCGCATCAGTGATCAAAACGTCGTATCTGCTTTAAAAATAACATTCCTTACTGTAGAATTGTAATTTGTAAAAAAATAATACTTATATACAGTAAGTAAACTCAAAATTAAACCATTAAATTAAGAAAGAATATTAAGCTGGATTCTTGAAAACGGGGTACTTCAAAACGTCGAAATAAAAAAAGTATATATTCAGAAGTCATATTTGTTGTTAATATAATATACATATGTTTCAGTACACTAAATTTTAAAATTCTTATAAAACTATTTAATAATCACACTTACTGCTAAGCCAAGTTGATGTTTGCCAGAAAACAAAAGACAGTGAGAATTAAGAACGGCATTTTAGATTTCAACACTAAATGCTTATAATGTACATGAACTTTATATACTTTTAAAATAAAATAATACTAAGTGCTAATTTTTATTTATTTAATTCTGATCAACATACTTCTTTGTTGTCAGTAGAGGACGCTTGTTGTTGAAGTTAACACATTTTATATTTTTGACTTCTTGTGTAGTTATAGTAAAAATACTACAGTACAAATAAATGGATAGCTTGTCTTTTCATTTTTCTGGTCTCATTAAAGATGTATCGGTAAGAGTTGTATCATATAATAAGAAGAAAAGGGTATGATGATTAATTAAAAGCATACTTTTGTTAAATAAAGTGTAAGCTTGAAATTTGGCGTAAGGCTACGGTAAGGCCTTAGGCTTAAGCCTCATTTTAAATTAAATTTCAGTCTTAAGTTTATTGTATTTCTACTAGTTTCTGCTACTGCTAGTCCTAACACTTTTTGATAGGATATACTGTTTCGTAAATTTGCATTACTCCCTCGAATTTTGTGTAACTGGTCGATACTAAATTGCATAGTGAATTAAGATACGGTTGATTTTGCATAATAAATCAATTCTATACAATTGGTTGATTCTGTAATGTACAAAAGTTAACATAGGGTCAAGTCTTTGTAACAGATCAATTCTGCATTAATCAGTGTAATGGGTTGCAGGAATGTGATTCTACACAATGCATGGAAGTAAGGGTATAAACATTGAAAATACAATGTGAAACAACAATACTTGTGCATTTCTTTCAAAGCATTATGTATAACATATGGTATGCAGAATCAATATGTTAATAATATTGTGATCCATATTCAGTCTTATGTTAACTTACTAAGTAGAATCAATCCATTGTGTAAAACCAGCCCATACTTTAAGTTTAACTGATTTTGCAAAATCGACCTATTTGAATTATGCAAAATTAATATATTTTACTTTCAATTATTTGTGCAAAATTTCAGTTATGCAAATTATGTGATTATTGCAGGTTATGCAAAATATGCTTTCCACTTTTTAGTAGACTGTTATGTGTCTACCTTTCTAGGCTTATTATTTCAACTAAAAGTAAAACTAATTAAAACCAGTAGTATTTCATTTTCAGACCTCTGGCTATAGAAATTTAAAATAAATTCAATTAAAATAGAAGCAAGAATTGTAAGTAAAAACATTTGACAATATTGGTAAGAGAAATACCAAAATTTTAAATTCTCTCTAGTAAGTTACAGTACCAAATAGCAATGTTTCTAATCGTATTTGACAGTAACATTAATTATTATTAATTGGACCACAGTTCTGATATAGAAAATGCCATATTCATCTGTTGCCCTCTACATAAGTCATAAGTACGTTACTGAGATATCACTTTGTTTTATTTCCCTTAGTGCAAAATACAATTATTTTAAGTTTTACATTGTAGATGATTAAAATATTGTATAGGAATTGGACAGTGTTTAAATATATGTTATATATGCAGTTTTCTGGCATTGTGAGATGAATAGTTATATATACATTCATAGCATAAAGTATTAAAATTTTGAATTGTATTAAACTGAGTTAATTGATAAATTTAAATTTAGTAGTTGTACTTTGGATTTAGTTGTTAAGTAAAAACCAATATGTAGTCAGTTTATGATATTTGCCAACAAGATCGATACACAGTTTTTGTTTTTAACACAAATATGTTTTAATATACACACAACAATACAATTTACTATAACAGTTATTACAAATAGTTATTACAAACAATGATTTATAAGCAATAGTTTCACAAACTTACAAGCAATATAAAGTCTTCTTTCTAGTTTGGAACTTCCTTGATATCTTATCGAGGGTTCACGATGAGCGAGTTGATTACGAGTTGATATAGGTATAATTCACTTTATAGGGAGCTAGCTAGCCCTGTAGTTCTTGCTGATTACAGGTCAAGTTTCACCGATGATATTAGGTAATGTTTTTGTAAAAGTACTAATGTCTGATATGAATCCACTAAAGTTGAATGATTTGCAATGTTCGAAATTTATAAATGTGCTTGGTCAACATATCTGAAGTTCCTGATTAATAAGCTTGCAAAGTTTTTTTAGCACACCAAGTATAGCAAACCGATAATAGATACTCTCTTTTGGTGCATTACATTGGTTATATTTATAGGCATGGGAATGTTTTCTAGAAAATTCAGATTACATAACAATACAAATTAAAGTGTTCAAGTACACACATATATATTGTTGATTCTTACTCTTGAGAATCTTCTAAGTCTTTGGAGAATATGCAGGAGTTTTGCAAAACATATTTAACAATATAAGCTATGTATGTTTCTAAATATAAATTTAATCTAAACAAACGTTAATATTAAAATAAATATATAATAAATTTGTTACAATAGAAAATTAGCAAAATTGTCCATCAGTCAAATATGAGAGTTTAATTGAAGAGTGTATATGGTTACAATAATTGATAAAAGAAAATAAATCTGGTCCCATGTGGTTCTGTTAGAAGACCAGATGCAGTCCTGTCCTTTGATAAAATTGTTTATTAGATTTGTCTGATGACTTGGTATGTACATTTTGAATTCTTTGGCCTTTTCTTACTGTTCTCACTTTCATATTCTTGTGTTGATTCTTTGAAGAAATAAAACATCAGTTTACAGTACTGCACATGATTAGTTACTTTTAATCTTAACTCCCTGCTTCTTTATTGTTTATATAAAAGTGAGCCATTTAATGGAGACAAAAACTAAAAAAAATCTTTTTGTCAGTTTTCATTTAAACATAAATAATACTGGTATTTTATTTTGTGTAAATTTTAATCTTTTAGGACCTCCTTACTCAGGCTCTTGAGTCTGAAGATGTTAGTCAAATTGCAGAAAAATGTGAGTTAATAAACCATCAAGGAAGGTAAGTACAGTAAATGAAATAAGATTTAGAAAGATATTCAAAAACTTTCATTAATATTAATGAATGCTCTGAAATTTTGTTGTGTGTAAAACGTTTGTATGTAATTTTCATATGCAGCTGTTTTTATCGTATTTAAATTATCAGTTCCACAGTCTTAATTCTAGAAGGTTAGGTAAGGAAGCTTTGCAAAATCATCTAGGAAAATATAAAAGAAAATTAACATAGATTCACTAATAGATCTTCCAATACTAATCTTGTAACTTTTTTAAGGATATTATCTGATATTCAGTTGATAAAAAGGATGTGAATTGGTGTATTTAGATTTTGTAAAGATTTTGATAAGGTGACACAGAGAGGATTTGTTAAGAATCTGTTGTGTGGATGAACTGAGATGCAGTAAGGTACAAAAAAAAAGTCCTTTAGAGTAAAAAATCAATATAATTGATACTTGAAATCATCAGTACTTGGAAATTCCATAATTACAAAATTGAGTAAAAACAAGAGAATTGTATATTTCACAAATACATAATTTATTCGTGACCATGGTTTTGCCACTAAAGGCATCATCAGATACAGACTGAAATGTTTTGTAATAGGTTTATAAATGTTTAAACAAAGAACAAAAAGTGACCTTGACATTCACCTAGATACAAGTGGGGAGGAACTTAAGTTGCTTTGGTGATTTAGAACTTTTTCCTGGATTTGTTTATAGACTTCTATTTATTTCTTAAATTTCCAGACTATCTAGTTTTTACCTTTTTTACAGATATGTAAAATTTTGCAGTTTTTTCTGAATCAAATTGATGTTTAGTTTCAATAAGGTTGGATGCAAAGGATGAATCCATTTTTCTTAATTTCTAGCTTCTAGAATGTTCTTTAATTCTTGTTTCTATAGAATATCATGTTTGACCTATGTTTGCAATCTTGACACATTGATTGGTAAACAAACACCTTTGCTTCTTTACTTTTCAAATCTGTCTTTGTTATTGCACAACATTTTTCCTAGGTTGTTTTTACAATAGAAGGTTGGTCTGTAGATTTCTTTGTTCAGTGTGTTATATATTTTTTTAGAAGGTTTTCCAATGTAGCTCATCTTAAACCGTATCTTTTCGTTTTAGTTGTCATTTGATATGGTATGTGGGTATAGTGATTTTAAATTTATGTCTCTCAGTTTTTTTGGATATGGCAAGCACAATTTTGAGCTTTGAAGCCAATGGTTCCTTGGGTAGAAAGTTTGTATGGATCTCTGATTATAATTATAGTAAGTGCCAGGATTATCATACTTTGGATTACACATTCATTACAGATGGGAAACCACTCAATCGTGCGATTGAAGAAAAAGATCTTGGTATAGTAATGGATAAGCTATTAAAGCATGTATCAAAGCTAATATAATTTTAGGATGTACTTATAGACTTATTGATTATAATTCAAAAGAGGAAATTATCTCATTATACAAGTCACTAGTTAGGCCTCACTTGGAATACTTGTACAGTTCTAATCTCCTTATCTAAGAAGGGATATTGACGTATTGGAAAGGTTTCAGAGGAGGGTTACTACTAAGTAAATTCCAAAGCATGGAAAGTTATCTTACAGGGATAGGTTAAGATCTCTTAACTTATTTTTGCTTGAAGAAAGAAGGGTAAGATTTTTGGAGTTTACAAGATTATCTAGGGCAGCGTTTCCCAAACTATGGGTCGCGACCCACTGGTGGGTCGCAAGCGGAATGTTAGTAGGTCATAAAAAGTTATACTAGAATTACGCATTAGCTTCAATTAAAT